CGTACCACCATAAGGATCGCGGTCGTTGGATGTTTATATTCGTGATAGTACCTCTCTCTGTCCCCAAATAACCGGCCGAATGGCGACCAATTCTCGTGCCGGTACGACATATTGGGCGCCTCCGAATAGCGACTCCAAATAGCAGAGCGCGGTACCGCGCTCGTTGAGAGAAAGAAATATGGTCGCGATGTAGCGAGGCGCGGTTTGTACCTCGCCGGGTATGATCGGTGCTGGTACAAGCTAATATCTTCAGGGTGCCGAGAAAGAGAAAGAGAGAGAGAGAGAGAGAGAGAAAGAAAGAGAGAGAAAGAGAGCCGACGCATCGTGCAATGCCGCGCCGCGCGCGTCTTAATCGCGCCGAAGTGGTAGAGATTTTACGGCCGTTTCTGTCCGGCCCGCGCCAACCGATGTCGCGGAAAATGCGGGCTGCGAAGTGAGTAAGTTAACGCGGCGCGCGGCCTCCTCGCACTGCCCGTGCAAGAATTTATCGCGCAGGGCTCTCTCTTTCCCTAATCTCGTGCCAACCGTCAACCCTCCCGCCATAGGGCTGTTCCCGTGAACATTACTTTCAGTTAATTAAGGCTTAACTGCTTCCTCGCCTTTGTACAGCTCCGACCGTGGAACGAGTTCGAAGGGGTGAGTCGTTTAATACTAGAATGCCCGGAAACAACCCTTTTGCATGCCGGAAAAAGTCCATTTCGACGAATCTAAAACGACGTAATTCGTAATTCGACAAATATAGAAGTATAAAAAATACTTAAATTATATTTTTTTCATTTTGGCCGACTTTGAGTTTCACGGGCAGTTTATAGCTTTTTAATATTCTCACTCTTATCATCAACAAGAAATAAAATTGAATACAAGATATGTGCGTGTTTGGTTTGCTCATTATGAATATCAAGTCAAATGTGTAAAATTATTTGTGTAAATAATAAAATGTTTAAACAAAAAAAATTATTTATACAAATAATTTTTCGGTTTGGCCAAGATTCAAACTATTTTTGACTAATTTAGCAAAAATTTAAAATATTTTGGTTGGAATCTAAACTAAAAAAATTTAGAATGGTTCGTGTCTCAGCTATGCCGATTTTGTTAAAATTATTTAACTATATTTAACTATTTAATTTTACTTCTTATGCATTTTTAGTGCACTTGATGATAGAAGTGAGAGCATTAAAAAGCTATAAACTGCTCGTGAAACTCAAAGTGGGCCAAAATGCAAAAATATGACCTAAATATTTTTTATACTTCTACATTTATGCCAAATTAGAAAGAAATTGGAGTGTACATTTTGGGTAGGTTTATTTGTGTTTCCTAGCCACAAAATATTTAAATCAATGCACGACGTAAGTCGGTGAAAACTGTACTTCACTTTCGGGAGACATTAATTGAAAAATAAATTACTACAAAAATAGTAAAACTGATACTTATGTGTATATCCCTCTTCCTCTGATAAATATAAAATACGTTCAAGTAATTACAATAATTTTGTAGTAAGAAGTCGGACATGCATAACTTCAAACAAATGTATAATAATTTCGGTCATAATTTTGTATGGTTTAATATTATAAAAATTTTTTTGTCATTTTTACTACAATATTTTCCCTGTGTACAAAAATACTGACGAGTGGGCGTAGAATAAAATATGCATGAATCTACTCGGGGTTAAAAAAGTAAAATCTCAAATAATAACTTGCATAAAGAATAAAATGTGCATCAATCTACTCGGGATTAAAAAACTAAAATCTCAAATAATAATTAAATACCGGGTGCGCTACAGTCACACAAACACCCGTTGTCAGCCCGGAAACAATACAGAACGAAATAAGCATATCTGACGTAATTTTCGAAAATAGACCTTTTCAAAGGCGAATGTTTCTTTAGAAAACCCTAAAAAA